GGAGGCCGCGGCCAGCCGTCAGGTGAGCTCGGGGCCGCGCGCGCTCGGGGTCTCCGCTCTTTCCGCCGCGGCTGACCGCCGCCCCCTCGGCCGGCTCGCTTCGGTGGGGTGGGGCCGCGGCGACGGCTGCGGAGTAGGCGCCCAAGCGCGCCGCGGTCGGTCTCGAACCCGGGTCCCTCAGGCGGGCGCGGCAAGCCGTCTTCGCTTCCCGAGCTCTGGAGGGTGCTGGGAGAGGGGGCAGAGAAACTTGGCTGCCTTCCGGACGACTGTGCTCGGGACCTGCGGTCCTCACCCCTCACCAGTTCTCCCACGGGGCTGGAATCCAGATGGGGTGCCTTCATTTTCATGTTATCTTCGCTTTTCAAAAAATGCTTCTTGAAGGGAAGTTGCAAGTAGGTGGTGTCCCAGGAGGAGGTGGCTGCTGATTGAAAATCGTTGCTTGGGGGTGTGGGGTGCAGATCTCCTGAACACACTGCAGGTTACATTGCCATCTCTTCTGAAAAATGACTTTGATGCAACTTGGAAGAGAGTCTCCCAAGTGGAACCTTACGTGATGAGAGGCAGACCCTGGCACAGTTGATCTGACTTCCAACAGGACAGAGTTTGACTTTGGAACCCAGGTTTTCATTGCTTTCCAGTTTTCGTGATCTCAAGACTGTTGCATCTTCTGATCCTACATGAAACAATTGTGTGGGGGCGATTTGGCTGTTCAGATTTTTCTTTCTTAGGTGGGATCTGTGCATTTGGCCTGTGTTCCCTCAGTTCTTTAGCAAAAAACTTGGGATCATTCAGTGTATGATAGTGAGGTGGCATTTAACCTCTAGGCAGAACTATGTGTATGTCAAATACAGTATTGGCTTTTGTCACAAAGGCAGAAGTTACCTTAACTGAAGATTTTGAGGCATAACTGACCTCTTCTAAATGCCGAGACTGCCCGTTCCCTGGTCTTTTGAGAGAGCATTGGCCTAAAGGCTGTTCTTTACTTGGACTTTGGACCCTGCTCATTTCCTTGATGTAGGAGGGAGGATAATATTAATGTTAAATTCAGTATGGTGGTGGTAGCCACGCCTTTACTCCCATCTGGCCTGACAGGTCTGTGAGTTGAGGTCAGTCTTGGTCTAAATACAGAGTTTTTGGACATCCTGGGCTACATAGGTGTTCCCATACCACACATAACAACAAAATCCTAAACCCAACAAAAAGCAAATCGTAAGTACCATCAAAGATTGTAAGTGGAATATCACCTAATTATTTCTCTGTTCCCAGTTACACTTTGCTTGGGAGATTTCTGGTTTATAAGGAGATTGTCAAGTAGTGAAAGGATACTTTTAAATAACATTGGTTGATCTTATCAGCATCTTGCTGACTTTGAAACTCTACCTAGTGACGTCAAATAATTGGTAATGTTTTCATAGGAAAATAGCACTGCCCTCTATGACTTAAGCTTCCATGAGCCTTTCTGTCAGGTTTTCACAGATGAGCCCTAGCCAGACAGACACCTTTCATAAGCTTATTTGATAGCTCACAATTTTCTTACACAGGACTAGAAAAAAATTAAAGTAATAAGACTATAAATAATTGAAAAGTGTACTTGAAATTAAACATTTCTGAACATTCTTTGCTCAGGTCATGTCTCAGGTCATGGGAGATCAAGTGGTAGGAAATATCTTCGCTGTTTGAAGTTTCCAGAGTTTTCGTCAAATCATATATTTTAATTCATTATTGTGTTGACTAGAATCTGAGTTGCACATCTGTAGATTCTTTTTTGTTTTAATTTTTTTACAAATTCAACTCACATCTCAGTCATAGTCCCCTCCCTCTTCTCCCCCAGTCCCACCCTCATCTCCTCTCCTGTTCCCCTGCACACTTCAGCTCATCTATTCACATGAGAATTCTGCTTATTATATGATGTACATTGAGAAAACATCTTACAGTGGATTTTAGAAGTGATCTTTTCATTTGCTAAGCTGTGTCTGATGGTAAAGTAGGGTGAGCTCTAACCCTTATTCATGTTTTTTCTTTCTTTTTTGGGGGGCCCGAGGGAGGAGTATGGATCTTGACAGGCAGAAACACAGAATTGGGAAGTAATATGTTTTAAGCTATCAAAAAGCTGACTTGAACTTGTAGACCTTAGTTCTAGTAGTTTACTCTAGTCATTAGTTCCTTCTTTTTTGAGAAGATGAGATATTAGTTAAGGAAGTTACTATATTATTTAACTTTTGCCTTTGAAAATGTAAAGACTGATGGAGAACTAACAGTTTGGTGTGTCTCCTCGGTGTTTAAGCTAGGGTTTCTAGTGCTGTGATAAGCATCTCAGGACCACCTGTCCGGAGTGGCACCACCCGCAGTGAGATGGACCCTCCCACAGCAATCACCAGAAAGAAATTGTACCACAGACTTGCCTACAGGCAAGTCTCCGTCAGGAGACATTTTCTCCGTCAGGTTCCTTCTTCCCAAGTATGTCAGGGTTTGTACCAAGTCAATAAAAACAAATCAGCTTTCATATTTGCTTTGTGAAAAAAAAAATAAATAAAGTAGACATTTCTCAAGTTTACTTTCAGAGAAAGTTACTCTGTTCTGTAAACCTTTAGGAGTCTGTAAGTATCATCTAATTCTTTATATTTTTTAGATTTGTTCATTTGATGTGTGTTTTGCCTACATGTATGTATGTGCAATACTACCACGTGTGTGCTAGTTGGTGCCTGTTGAGGAGAGGCCAGTGGGTGCCCTGGAACTAGAGTTACAGATGGTCGTGACTCACCATGGAGATACTGGGAATTGAATCAGGTCTTTTGCAAGAGCAACAAGTACTCTTAACTACTGAGCAATCTTCCCAACTCCCCTGTAGTTGTGACTCATATTTTTTGTTTTATGTGTATTTTTATGCAAATATGAAGTTATAATAGAGATCTAGGATTTAAAAGAAAAGATTCACCTTTTTACTAAATAACATGGAACAGTCATTCAAGTATTTGATTTAATATTCATATGTGAATATATTACGTTTTGATCAGCTCCATTCTCCTTCCCTTCTGCCCAGTTCCATCCCCACACCCCCCACTTTTTTCTCCAGCTTCATGCTCTCTTAATATTATTTTGATTGCATGTATATGGATGTTTTGCCACCATGTATGTCTGTGCATGGTGTGCATGCCTGATACCCACAGAGGCCAGAAGAAGGTATCAGAATCCCTGGGACTGGAGTTTCAGGTGTTTATGCAGTGCCATGAATCAAATGTGGGCCCCTTGGAAGAAGAGCCAGTGCCCTTATCTACCAAGCCACCCTCCCAGCCCTCCAGCCACCACTTTTAAAATAAGTCAGTTCATTTAGTTCTACTTGTATGTGAACGGGTGTGGGGCCATCTACTGAGCATGGGTAGCCTCTCAGAATTTTCATCTTTGAAGAAAAAGGACCCTCTCTCCCAGCAGCCATCAGTTGCCAGTAGCTCCTCACCTAGAGGTGGCACTTCGTAGACCTCTCCCCCATTCTTCTCAGGATGACCTTGATCTTCTACATCTACTTCCCGAGGCTCTTAAAGTCTTTTCACAAACACCTTTCCTCGTTGTTCCGTAAGCCTTGTGGACAGTGATAAAGACGCCCCATTTAGACATCTGAACATTCCGCAGTCTCTCTGTGTACATCACCGTCCACTGCAGAAAGGAGCTGCTCTGACAGGAGTTGAGGGATGCACAAGTCCATATAGGGAATAATAGTATTAGGTTCTCTCCTAGAGCTTTCACCCAGAAGCCACATATTTTTCTCCTAGTTATCAGTACTAGTTATAGGGTCCATATTGTGGAGCAGGGTTTAACTCCAACGGGAAATTGGTTGGCTACTCCCATAATGTTCATGCCACTATTGTACTAGTAGACATATTTTATCAGGCCAGCCATTATTATAGCTTTTACAGCCAGGTAAGACTGTTGATGATTTTTCTCCCCTTCTAACATACATAAAACCTATAATTCAATGAAAACTAGCCAGTAGGGATGCCAGCTTGATTCCTCTATGTTCTCTGTGTCTTCAGCAATAGGGTCTTAGCATCAACTTCTGAGGAATAACCAAGTGGTGATAGCCTATAATTTGGGGGGTTGGTAATCAATGGGAACTCACAGACCAACATCTCAGAAAAAAGTTACCCATTCCTGGCTTTGGGGTTTATTTCATAGCTGAAATATCTGGGGAATAGATTGTTGTCCCTTCCCATGCTCTGCTTGCCTGTTACTAGGTGACTCCCTTTAACCTCTCTTTACAGATATGTATGTCTTTTAGGATGCTTCTATAAAGGTCTTTAGTGTTATCCTTCCCTCTTCTACCCTGACTTCCCATCCTCACCCCTGTTCCATTATTCCCCTTTCTCCCTCCATTCCACCATTGCTCTAGCCCCCGTTTCTTGAAACCCTGCCCCTTCCATGTTCTCTTACTATTTCCTGCCTTTTATGGGTAGTCCATTTTAAATACACATATCTAAAGATTCAAAGCTAGCATACTCATATGAGAGAG